AAAATTCAAAGATAAATTATAACACTATAAATAGTTAACATATAGGAAAGAGGGAGGGAGAGAATAAGGCATAGATATTGAAATTAGACTTCATTAACTATATTAACCATTTTTTAAAAAACTTGGATCCATGTAAATATTACATATTATTATGAAACAAATTAAATTTTAAAACATCTCAAACTTTAAATATAAAATAAAAAATCAATCTGTATATTCAGTTGGTGGCATAAGTACACATAGAAAATAACTACCCAAATAACTTTAAAATATACTAACTTACTGGCATCATCAGTGTAAAATAGCCTAAGAATATGAGAAATTACAAAAAAAAATTACACTGTCTACGATAATCATTTTGTTGATGGTAGTGTTGATATTCTTATGCTAAGATGATTGTGAGCTTATTTTATAATAAATTAAATGAGTAATTATGTGGAATTTTAATTCTGTCATTCTCAGCATTGAAACTAGTGTTATCAGTGAGATCTAAATATACAATTAAAGAAAGTAAATAAAAATGCCTAGGGGCTGGGGTTGTAGCTCAGTGGTAGAGATCTAGTCTCACACATGTGAGGCACTAGATTCGATCCTCAGCACCATATAAAAAACAAATAAATAAAATAAATAACATAAAAAACAAAAAAATAAATAAATTGTCCCTCTACAATTAAATTATTTTTTAAAATGCCTACAGTTTACATACTGGATTGACAGTAAGTTTAAACTCACATTTTAGTTCTTAAGGAATATAACACATATTCCATAGCATGGAACCCAAAACAAAGAACTAAAAACAATGGCCAATTTAGAAACCATGAATTCCCCAGTGCTTTATGGTTTTGAAATACCACCAAAAATAATTAAGGTTTTTGTAAATGATCATTAATTCCATATCCAAGGGAGGAAATCAAGATCAATGTGAAGCACCTTCTTGTACCAGGTAGCAAGAAAGATATCAAAGAAAACTGGGTTTTCAGAAGAGTTCAAGAGTCAATAAGTAAGGGTTTTCTCTGGCTAAGGATGAGACAAATAGAGCATCAATAAGGGCAATGTCCATAATGACTTGAAAGAAATATTTAGCCTTGTAAGTTCATAATTTTGAAAAGAAAAACATTTTGTTGATCATCCATAGATGACACTTAGAAAGCATTTTGAAACCTACAAAAAAAGAAACAATATTCATTTTCTGCTTTTCCGACAAATCATTGGCTGTCTTTGTAAACAAATAATTGATGAACTTGTTATTTATGAAATTATTCCAGCTAGTAATGAAAGAAATGATAAAATTAGCATAAAGATTTTATAGACCCTCATAAATAGATGGATTAAATCATTGAACATTAGTTGTTGCTACAAAACAGTGACAACCAGATATTTTTTGACTGCTGATGGGAAAGTTAATTCAATATTATTTGTTTGGGATTGGATTTTGCTTATCCTCCAAATTTATATGTGAAACCTGAATCACTTAACTGTATATAAAGAAGTAACCTTTGAGGTGATTCAGGTTAAAAGAGGTCATATGAATTAGTCCTAAATCCATTGGCTTATGAGAAGGGGAAGACATGAGGTCATATAAGTGAGTCCTTAATCAACTGGCTTATGAGAAGGTGAAGACACAAAGACACATTGGAGTGTGCACAGGTGCTTGATCACACACACACACACTCTCTCTCTCTGTGTGTGTAAGAGTATAAAGAAAAACGGGCCAACTGAGGACATGGCAAGAAAATGGCCATTTACAAGTCAGGAGAATAACCCTCACCAGAAACCAATCATGGAGACACCATGACCTTGAGCTTCTAAGCCTCCAAAACTGTGAGAAAAGTTTGCATTGTTTGAGGTATGTAGTCTGTGCTGCTTTGTAATGTCAACCAAAAATACTTGCACCAAATGTGGAATAGTTTTTAGGGACACACACACAAACACACAAAAAAGAAATCTTTAGTAATGATCTATAGGAAATACAAAGGATGGAGCAATATGTAAAATTATACCAAGGAGAGCACAATGCAAACTGCTGAAAAATCCCATAAAATAAATAACTTGACTTTTCTAATAAATACAACATAGGAAAAAATAATGGAAAGAGAACCAACACAGATTTTAACGTGGCTTAAGAAAAATATCAATCACTATATGTGAACATTATACAAATTCCCTGCCAACCCCCATTCCAAAAGAAAAAAAAAAAAAAAAAAAGCACTGTTAAAGTTATAACATTTGTTAGAAAAGGACAGTAACAAACAAAAGATATTATATGATATTTTAAAAATATTGTTCAATATTTTAGATATAATATGATTTTGCAACACTGTTTTAAGTGGTTTTATTTTATAGACACATATATTAAATATTTTTGGGTTGGAATATTACATTGAGATTTTCAAACTGACATGAGGGGAGAGGTGAATAAGAATATAGATTAAAAACAAAAATTTCACCAGGTGAAATTTACTATTTCTTGAACTAAGAGGTATAAATGGTTATTTTATTTTAATATTTTCTCTAACTCTTTCTCTCTCTTTTTATTTTTTTCTTACTTATTCCTAATCAAAGTTTTTTTAAGGCAATAAATTTTAGAGTTGGCTTTGGTTGTGTCTTATCACAGCAGAATGTAGCAGTACATAGAAAAAGATGAGGCCAACACACTACACCTAAATGAATAACAGCAGCTGTTCTGGGAAAAAAGGTGTTTAGCTTCAAGGGAGTGATACTTACTAGCAGGTAACTCCAAAGTTACTG